GAACACATCTCCCAGGGCAGGACTGGAAAGCCCTCACTGACATCAAAGTGCTCAGGACTCAGCCTGTCTTCGACCGATTCTCAGTTACGTTGATGCCTCATGCTAGTTTGATGCTGCTGCACTCCATAACAAACAGTAAAAGGAACAAGCAGGGATGTATACGCTAACATCCCTAAAACAACAAACACTGTTGCCCAGGAACTCCGATGGGAACAGAGCAGAAAGTAGCTGGGCTCACACCCTCTCCCAAAACGGCATTGATTTCCATTCTTGGAGACAAAACAGTGGGCTTGAGGAACCATAAATCGGAACTAGATGGACATTTTCTGTGTTCTTGTAGCCACATAAAGAGAAATCACCATTTAAGAGTCAACCCTTCTAAAATCCAAGGCCCCCAAGAATTAGCCCACAGATTCACAGAGACAATTTTACAAAACTGAGTGAACGTTTAAAAACTCACTCAGATTTTGGCACCATGTGAAAAAACCAGGAGTGAACGGAGAACCCAGTAAGACCAATTCACACGGAGGGTAATAAACATGTGGCACATGTTACCAATGAAGGTGGTTGAAGCAACAAGTAGAAATAAACACAAGAGAAGTCTGGATTTTTTTTTTTTTTTGGTGGGAGAAGGTTATTGAAGGTCTGTCTGACACAGGAGGCAGGCAGGCGGGCCAGAAGTGCTACTGTGATCCCCAAGCAACGATTTAAAAAGTGTCCGAAATGCTGTGCACCGTGCATTTCAGTAACAGAGAGACAATTCAAACTACCCACTTGGAATGGGCAAAATGCTGTTTTGTTGTCAATTATCAGAGCTGTAAGCGATTTTTCCCCACTGGAAAAGTGCATGCACCACCCTGTCCCATTTGTCTTCCTGCTTCTGCAGTGGAAACAAAAGAACAGGAGCCTGGGCTCAAACAACAGAACAAGAGGTGTCAGATGAGCAGGGACTTTGGTAGCTAACAGAATGCAGTTGCTTGATTTTGCTGAACTAGTTAACTCCGTAATTTATTCTTGCTGCTGAAGTTTTCTGTGTGGCTCCTTTTTTTCCTGCTCAGAGACTGTTTTGGTTTTAATTTCACCACAGGAGGGCAAAGAACAAGTGATGAGAATGAACGATGCTTTGCAAATTCACATCATCATCCATCAAGAGATCTCAGCATAGTCACTAAGAGGTCTAAGGTGGTGATCAAGTGATTAATCCCATCACCCTGCTAATTGCATTTCATTTACTGATTACTGGGAGACACACGTTCACCCAAGCTCCAGCATAGGTCTGTGCAGAAGTGGAAGCAGCCATTCCCAGATTATCTTTGATAAGCTTCATTATCATTCCCAAACTGATTTACACTTACACTGTGGAGTCTGCATTGCAGATTTGTAACAGTTACTGTAGAAAAAAAACCCAAGGGGCAGCTATTAGGGCTGATGAGAAAAAGATGGATCATCAGTGTTCCTGAACTTGCTCTCATTCTGCATTTTAAAGAGAGTCAAAATCTGCTTATTATGTTTTGCCTCCCCAAATTAAATTGATTATTGATATACGAGGGCACTAAACAGCCAACTGGTTAATGCACAGGACACTGCAGCCTCACATGCAAATTCGTGCTTTGGACCCACACTTGTACCCTTCACATCCAAGGTGAGTCTGCCATGTTGGTCAAAAATCCTGCCTCAGCTCCTGGTGATGGTTTATCAGAAGTTTCCACAAATCAACGTTTCATGTTTTTTTCACAACTCACCTCCTGTTCCAGCTTCAACAATGCTGTTCCAAAAAGAGCAGCAACTGCCTTTAACCCAAAGGACCCACATTTTCATGCTCAAAAGTTTCAGGGGCTACTTCATCCATTGTCCAAGAGTGCAGAACAGGACGCCTGCACTCCAAACTAAGCCAGATGGGGCTCACACGGACTGTTCTTGCTGCAAAGCTGAATTTAGTCCCGTGGTGATATGTTCTATGCTCAACAGCACTTTGGATTCTGATTTTTATGGTGTTCTTTTGCAATCAGAGGGTCTTTAGGACAAGCCAGAAGTTATTCAGTGTCTGATTTGCCAGCCAATGCTTGTTGCTCTTTGTAAGCCAAGCCCAAATGCTGGGAAATCTAGAAACACTTCACAGCCTTGTGCTTAATGCAACATGTCATGTTCCACAGTGATATATTTTTTTTTTTTTTTTACCAAAAGACAAGCAGCTTAATGAAAAATAGAAGTCCTTGCAAATGTAGAAGCCAGAACCTAGAGACCATGCATTTCTGCATCTGTCTTGTTCCTTCCTATCTTCTGTTCACATTTGGACTAAAATCTTCAGATGTATATTATGCATCACTGTGAAATCTCACTCGAGTAGCCCTCTGGCTCATCAATTCTTTAACAACTTTGTAAGTGAACTTGAGTTCATCTAGCAACTTCTCCCCAAGTACCACCCCCCTGAAGCCTAACACTCTTCACTTGGTGAGGTGTTCCCAGGCTCTCAGGCATCCACTCATGGATGGTTTGCCTTTTCAATGCCTAACAACTTACTCCCATCAGACTTCTGGTGTCACAGATGTTTCATGCATTTTAACAGTAGGTGGTGTGGCCCTCAGAAAAGCAGAAATCAGCAATATCTCTCTTCTCACTTGATATGAGCACAGAACCTCATCCAAGTGCTTCACTGCTGTTGGACACGAGACGTTAGGTTGTACAGAGTTGACTTTGACACCAAAAGCCCTGGAAGACCTGATCGAAGTGGAACACTAATTCCTCACCCAGTAATTACTTTTAGAGTTTCTCCTAGTCTATGCCATTACTTTCAGCCCATATAGTTCTCACATTCCAGGTATTAAACAAAATAATAAAGTAAATAAATAAAGCAGCAGGGCTCAGAACTAAGAGTCAGAAAAGTAATAACCACAAAATTGAGTGCACTGGAGTATAACTAGAACACCAGGAGGAACACTGAAACCGTGCTGTAACTCTGTGATGTAAAATCAGGAAAGAGCATGTCCCAGAGCTCACTTCCTCCAGCCAGGTCCCCAGTCTACATGCACTGGACGTGGTTCCAACTGAAGATATTACTCTCCCATTCACTTACCACCAAACTTCTCAAACGTAACTTTTAGTTTCTTAATCTGACAGGACGGGCTCTGGCTCATTGGGCCTGATCCTTTCCATTTTACTAGGTTCCTCTGGGCAGATCTCCATGACTTCACAGCTGTGAAGACCGTTAGCTTTCTGATTTACTTCTGAGGCAAGTCACTAGAAATCAAACCTACAATACCTTCTGCGAAAGGGCTCTCACGTGCATGTTAAGAATTCAAGGGGTAGGTAACCCAAGTGCCAGAGAGAATGTGTCCCAGTGAAGCCAGGCTTATCTCTAGGAAAAACCAGTTTCATCTTCAAGAAAGTTTGGACTTTTCCTGTTCTGTTTGAAGTTAGAAACAAGCCTCTTTCGTACCCTGAAGCAGCTGTGCAAGACACAATCCTAACAAAACACCGTAAGATCAAGATTTTTTTTTTTTTGAGGGAAAAAACCCAAACCCAAACCCTAACAGAGCCAGAGGGAGAAACAAAAGGTCACTTTTGACAAAAATAAAACTAATCATCTTGTTGTTTCGACGCATAACTGGTAATGCCTTCCAGTAAGAGGTAATGGCTGGAAACCCTGAAGTATCAGAACTTAGGGCAGAGGTCAAAAATGACTTATTTTAGAGGCTAGCTTTCTGTAAATAGTACTTGATGACCACATGACCTGAAATTTAACCCTATCATTCAGGGGGGAAAATTTCCCAAAGATAATGAATCCGGTTCATTTTAGGAGCAGAGTAGGCTGCACAGAGGAGTGACCAGCTACTGAGAGCTGCAGTGCAAGGCCACAGTGCAGTTCTGCTGACATGGAGGGCTCAATTACACAGATGCTTTGCTCGACGTGTTCCCTCTGCATTGTGGTGAACCAGTGAGGAATGAATCCACAAGCAGAGGTGGGAGATTTAGGTGGACAAGAGAGGACCATTTTTGGTCACTTTATAAAAGTAAAAAAACCCCAAAACCTGACAAACAAATAGGAAAATTTTGAAACAAAGCTTAATGAAGTCAAAATACACTAGTAGACTCCATATCCACTGGGCTCCAGTCTGGTACAGGGAAGATGCAAATTCTCTGTATTTCTAGCTGAACCTATTTATTATCAAAGGGAATAATGGCTATAGTGATAGACACACATTAGGCACTTATCACAGCATCAACTATCCTGTCACCCCCATTCTTGGAAAACACCGAAAGGCCAACAGAAAACACCAGGACACTTACAAAAAGCAGGAGGCATTTGTTCTCGCGGATGGCACCGCAGCAGCCAAGAAAACCCAGCAGAAAGAGCATCGCTCCCATAGCCAGCATGATGTATGCTCCCGTGAAGAGCAGAGGGTTGGCAGCCACTATCTCTCGAAAACCTGTGGGATCCACAATGACCCAGATTCCAACTCCCAGCAGGCACGCTCCTCCCAGCTGTCATGGCACAAGGAGAGGAGAGAGGGGGAGATAGGTCAACATAAATCAACTGCTGCAGCAAAATCGGAGTTGTTGCTGTATTTCAATTAAAGGTATTCACTTGGAGAATTTGTGTTTCTCCATGGCATATAATTCTCTGCCAAGGAGGTGACTGCTGACATGCTACTCTTAGTGTCTCTTGCTCACTAAATGAAACATTTTCAGCAAAAGCACCTTTCTTCCTTAACACGTCACTCTACTGTTTACAGCCTCCCTAATGCTGAATGACCCAGTCTTGAGCTGCTGCCACATCTGCAGGGGACAGCCCAGCGAAGGGGCACATGGGAGTAGAGTTCAGGGTGGCTGAGCTCTCCCAGCCTTCCTGTCAAAGACAAGAGCAACACGGTCATCGAGAATGAGACTACCTGTGGTAAGAAAATGACTGTCTTTCCTAGTGAAAAACTCAGCAGGGCACCCAGGACTAGAAAACAGTTTCTTCCACCATTCCAATACAGACCACATACAACACTAGTTACACCTTTCCCTCTGGTCTGCCTTTGCCTAGGAGAGGAGTATCTCGGACAACAGTAACCACTGTGCTGGCTTTCTGAATGTCTCAGCATCTTTGGATGCTGCAAAATCCTTACTGAACAGCAGTGCAAAGCTGAGGGCATATTCTGTACCATGGCAACCTCACCAAATTACATCCTATCCTGCAGACTGCTGGGAACAGGAGGATTCAAGAGAGGAAGTGGATTTTAAGTACTTACAAATATAAAGAAGTTGAAAAGAAACATCAGGTACTTCATGCAGCTCAGACAGTCTCCCTCCATGGTCTTCAGGCTCCTTGACTCAATTCTTCCTGCAAAACACCAGTGCTTCCTTAGCACATGCACTTTTTATCAGAGTGACACAATTCTACTTCCATTTGTATTTTCCCTCGTGGAGTTACTTAGGCAGCAGGGCTCATTTCTTACCCGAACAAGGCAACATAGCACAGGCTAGTAGGAGCTAATGATCACTGCTAAGTCCCTTTAAATTCTTCCAGGTCGAAAGGACTATGCAGATGTGAAGAGGAAGGTTGCAGGAGAGGAAAAGTCCAGCTTTGCTTGCAGACTGAGATGTGAGGAAAAGCCTCCCTCTGCACATGAAGATTCCCCCCAGTCCCTAAAGCCTGTCAAGTCTAACAGGCACTGAACATACCTAATTCATGCCAAAAAAGGCCATATTTGAAAGGTTCACAAACCTGCATTTCTGGACAGTTAGCCTAGTACAAGGACATTTTCAGGAAAACGTTTGTAGGAGCTGGGCTGGGAATGACCGCAGTGCATGGAAATGGGAGGGCCTCAGCCTGGGGCCCAACACCTGCTTGTCATGCAGTGTGAAACCTCCTGTGCCACCAAAGTCCCACCCTGAACAGGTCATCTGCAGGCAGAGCCCATGGATCAAAGTTGGCAAGCTTTTAATCCCAGGAAAAAATGCGAAGGAATCTGAACCAGTTTTGAAACTCCACATCTGAATTAGACAGCAAGCTACTTAGGACAGTACTTATATGGGAAGAGCAGCAATAAATTCTGACCAGGTGAGACTATGTTGGAAAAAAGTTTCTGCCCCAAAAAGCTTGCTGTTTAATGAAGTGACTGTGTCTCCCAATATCACCAAGTACCCCAGAGGGACCGACAAATAAATACATAAAATAGTAAAACTTTCACTGAAACAGAAGACAGTGCAGTCGTTCACAGATGGATGCCTACATATGCAGAGAGGCACAAGCTTGCCCAGCTCCCTAGAGAAGCCCTCCCAAAGCCCACATGCTTCTTAAACCATCTCTTCACCTTTCTCCACTGCAAATGCCATTCCCTAAATAGACCTCATCCAATGATATTCAACACTGGCAAAGTACATTCAATTCACTTAAAAGAAAAAAAAAAAAACACAGAAATTATCCAAGGTTTTCACCAGGCCAGAAATAAAACTCTCTCTTTCACTCCTTCATCGTCTTTGCTAATCCACAAAACTTTGGAGTGCTGGAGAGCCTCACAGGGTGCTTCCCTCTGTGACCATGGGAACTGCTCTACTTTAGCCAAAGGGCTGAGAAAAACCATGGCAGGCAGCGCTTCCAGCAAGGGGCTGCCCAAGGTGAACAGCCAGATTCACATCATACAGAGTGTGTGTTCGCTGCACTTCTTCAACTCCATTTAAAAATCAAATCAGTTCCTCCGCAGTGGGAAAACAGGCAGACACACAAATGGATCACAAGGACATGCAGCTGCTTTCCCCCTGCATCTCTGCTTGCTTGGGGCAGGACAGCAGCATGCTTCTGCTGCCTGGGTACCATCCAGGGAACCTCCTTTGCTAGAGGGATCCCAAGCAGATCCGCAAAGCCAGCCTGACAGTCCACCTCTCTTCTGAAGAAATACAAACCTGAATCCAAACCTGAGAACAAGGGCAACATTTTCTTTCCAAAGGTTTGGTTTTTTTTTTCCCTACCTCTGGTACACAACTGTCCAGAGACACAAAACCAAGACTGTGACTAGTGGAGATAGAGTGGGGCACAGAGCTCTGATGTGGGCCTGGAAGAGATGCCCACAGCTTACTGATGGTGTTCAAAGCCATGTCTGCAAATCTCACAGAGAATGGATATCTTGAAATCCAGAAGGAATTGCCCTGGGGAGGGAATTCTTCAGTTTCATGGGAAAGGTGAACCTTCAGGTACACTAACCCATGAGCTTGGACACTATAGTAGAGAGTGATATGAAAATACAAATTGATACGATACTGGAAATTCAAGAGCTCTAGAATTAGTGATGCCCAGATGTTCCCATCACCACACAAAAACATTATGCTCCAGTGAAACAAAGGATTGCTAAACCTCAGTATATTAGCCAAAGTCTGAAAGTTACCTGAGAAACTTCTAAGACCTGCTGCCTTGAGCACCCACCCACGTGATCCACATCATAGCAGCCTTAGGCAAAAACAGGAATAAAAAGCAAACCAATTCAGCCATATTGTGCCACTCCACATCACTCACACTCATCTCGCTCCAGAGGCACCCACATGAAAAACATTGCCTGTGGTCTAAGAAGCAGCAGCTCCTGGGTCTAACGCTGTCTTGCTGCTCTGTAGAGGTGATAAATCGCATTCCTACCTTACTTTACTTTCCATGTCTGGGTCTGCTTCCCCTGCAAGAAGAGAGTCTCCCTTGGACCCGCTCTGATTTGCACAAGCTGAGCACAGGCCTCCTTTCCTTTACAAAGAATCATAGAATCATAGAATGGTTAGGGTTGGAAGGGACCTTAAAGATCATCTAGTTCCACCCCCCCTGCCATGGGCAGGGACACCTTCCCCTAGACCAGGTTGCTCAAAGCCACATCCAGCCTGGCCTTGAAGACAGCCAGGGATGGGCCATCCACAACATCTCTGGGCAACCTGTTCCAGTGCCTCACCACCCTCTCCGGGAAGAATTTCTTCCTGATATCTAATCTAAACCTCCCTGATTTCAATTTATACCCATTACCCCTTGTCCTATCACTACAAGCTCTTGTAAAAAGTCCTCTCCCAGCACCCTTGTAGGCCCCTTCAGGTACTGGAAAGCTGCAATGAGGTCTCCTCGCAGCCTCCTCTTCTTCAGGCTGAACAAGCCCAATTCTTGCCGCCTTTCGTCATAGGAGAGGTGCTCCAGCCCTCTGATCATCCTCGTGGCCTCCTCTGGACTCGCTCCAAGTGGTCAAAGACAAACCTAAGCTATGACTCCCTGCATTGCTGCTGCCTGTGCATCCACTCAGTATGTTAAAAAGTTTTCTAGGTGTGAGCAGGGAAAGGAGACTCTAAATCCATTGAGCAACCAGGTCCCGAAAGCTTCACTGGCAGGGCCACGCAGTCACAGTAACTTGGGAGCAGCACGAACACATGCACACTCAGCATTGACATGCGAGGACTCCCTCATGTGCCTGGGCAAAAAGTTGTCCCCAGTGGTGGGGCTGGGCTCAGATTTGTAATTTCTAAACCCACCATGCTTCACGCAGCAAGAAACAACTAAGTGGTACCCTACTGACTGTGCTGTGCTTCAAGCCAACAACACACCCAGTGGGTCTTACAGATCCTGCAGGTCAGGATGCACACGTGGAAGTCAGTGGCAACAGGGGAAGGTCTGGGCTGGCAAAGCCAAGAGCAGAGCATGTCAGAGCTTCCACACTGTAAGAAGTCAGTGCAAACTTCCAAAAAATGCTATCCCACTGCTCTGATCTGAGAAAGAGGAGCTCTGAGCAACAGTTTCAGTGCTGGAACTTAGAGCTTGGAGAGATCCACACAAATCAGTATAACACACCCTTTCCAGTTCCTGCTGGGTACCCAGATTCCCAAGCAGCACATGCAAAATCACCATTTGGATGCTGTGATTGCACTGATTAAAACAGGGCAAATCAACCAAAGGCGTGATCTGACCACTTACGCAGCACTTAAAACTGTTTCATGTTAGAGCTCACGCACTCCAGCGTGTGTGGAATATATTACCTTCTAGTTCACGTATGCAGTAGTGCTCTAAACTCTGAAGAGTACATAACTAATACTATTTACAAGCAATGCAAGCAAAATGCAAATAATGCTACTTACGAACAATGTAATTATGAAACCATTTTTACCAACTGTTGCCTTACTAATTAGCTGAAGGTACCTGAAGTCCCTGATGACAGGCTGCATGCAGAAAAGAAGTGACATGAAAGGACAGTCCTGACCCACATAGCTGCTTTTCCCCTCCACCTTCCTTTTTAAGCCGTACACACAAAAAGCAAATCTTGTAAGTTACTCCTATTACACAGTGATGCAAGTGTGATAAAAACTGAACGCGTATGTTTTAGTCTACCTTTTAAAAATATCTTCTCTCCCCTCCTACGGTCCTCAAATTTGTGACAGATTAAGTTCTCCTCTGCAGGAGACATTCAATGCTAAGCAAACATTAACAGTCAGAACTGCAGAGACAGCGGCTGACAGATGCTCTCCCTGGCTTGTCCCATCTCAGACCTGTGAGACATATGAGAGGCATTTGGTTTTGTCTGAAATGTAGCTATAAATGTTCAGCTTTTTCTTAGGAAGATTATTCTACATTTCTCCCCTACCCCCACCCTAACACAAATTTTATCTTGTAAAGTGATGGGGAGGCTAAATATCCCCAGCAGTGTAGCCAGGAAACATATCCCAGCTGTTGTAATCAGTTAGGAATAAACTCTAGTTTTTCAAGGCAATGCTTTTTTTTGTTCTCCAGCCACCATTTATTTCCTTCCTTCTGACATTTGTTTTTGCATGCTCTGCGGGTACCTTGAACTTCACGTATCTACAGACAGCTGCTCAACTACACCTCCAAAAACTGCTCCCAGGTTTCTCTTTGCTACCACTGGCATTTCCCCCTACCCCCATATCCCTTACCCCTTTCACACTGGATTGAACCCACGGTTTCACTTCAACTGCTTCTTTACCTTTGCCTTGGAGATGGAATCACTGAAAAACTTAGGTTGGACAGGACCTCTGGATGTTGTTGAGTACAAACACCCACTGCCTCCAACCTGGGCCAATTCCAAAGTTTGATCCGACTTCAAAGTTAAAGCAAGTTGGTCAGGGTCACATTACTGAAGTTTCAGATACCTCCAAGGACGGACATTCCGCAGTCTCCCTGGGCACCTCTTCCAATGTTCGACCGTTTAAAAAGGTTTTTCAGAACAGCTGTCCAAGGTTCCCTAACAGTCTCCCCATCTCGAATACTTAATAGAAATCACAGAATAACCAAGACTGGAAGAGATGTCTAGAGGTCACCTTGTCCAACCCTCATTGAAAGCACTTTTTCAGTCACTTCTATCACAATGTCCATATTTATCTTCTTCTCACATACATATCTCTTTGCTGTCAACATGCACGACGACCTTGTCCACTGAACTGATCTGTTGGGTCCTTTAAAACCCAAGAACCAGTTCTGCGGTACCTCCTACAACATATTAGTTAATGGCTTGAGGAGCAAATGGTACTAATTCACACCTATTTTCACAATGCAACCGAGTAAAAGCAGAAGACACGCTTGAAGCTCTCCAGAACCACCACCAGACAGCCCTTAAAGGAATTAGAAAACATGAACCAGATTCTCATTCCAGTCACTGCATCAATTTCTAGAGGCAAATTTCCACAGAGTCTGCTCCTCTAGATAGACCAGAGATAGGGGCAGTTTAATTAGGAGACTGAACAGGATGAACTTGCTGCAGTACACCTCGCAGGGGGTATGACGGCAGATGAGCTATGTATTTCTCATTCCCCTCTTGCACACCACAGCTACACCCATCCAGCCTTGACAGAGATACCGAGAAAGCAGCTGGTATGCAGAAAGAAAGAGCTGCAAATAAGACTCACCTTCACAAATCTTAGGACTTGAAGCAGTGTCTATTCTAGTCTTCAATTGTCTGTGTGTCCCATGTATCTCCTTCTATCCAAGCTTGTCCTGTAGAGAAAAAATATGCAATTACTTCGGCAGTCAATAAAAAGCAATCACGTTAAATACACAATTCATTAAAACACACCATCCTGATGAATATGCTCAGTCTAATTGCCACCTTAATTCAGTGTACATTAGCACTAATGAAGAGCTTTTAATACCCAGTGAGGGATCCAGTTCCTCAGAATATCTTTAACAATGTTTGAGGTGTTTTAAATGCCCACAGACCACATGTAAATCTATAGTCCCATTACACATGCACCTCATACCACAACAGGACTAGATTAATACCAGCTGCACCTTCAATATTTTATAGGAGGTTTAGACAAACTTTAATCTGCTGTGACTTTACAGTCCATTTACTGGGAAAATGGAAAAGGCAGAGGAAGGGAGATGGAATGCATCTTTGGGAAGCCCAGCCCAGCCATTAGAAGCAACAGCCTGAGAAGCTGGAAAAGGTGAGGTGAGACTACAGACAAAAGTGCAGAGCATGCTTGTTTGACTGTTGCTTTCTCAGGGCACACTTTCACAGGCTGTTTCTTCCGTCCGTCTGAACCAGCCCCAACCCCACACTGTGGGCCTGCGGGGAAGGGGCAGCCTTTACCTATTCAAACAGCATGCCACGCCGTAAGGGCCCGATATTCACATAGGGTTGCTCAGCACAGTAACTCACTCACTCATCCTTTGCAAATCGTTTTGGAATATTTCGCTGAAGCCACTGCTTCTCTGTGAGGGATCACATAAGTCACCTGGGTCTATCCCTGCTCTCTCACGGCCGGAATTTCATCATGATTTCTGGAGGGGATGCATTTAACATCTGTTTCCCACAAACATTTGTGAATTTGCCTTTGAAAATTGCCTCCCATTAAGACTTCTATGAGTAAAAGTCTATCATTTGTTGTTGGCAGGAAGCGAACAAAGAGTTTCAAGGTGGCTGAAACTATTACAATATAAAGCATATAATGAATATTCATAGACTTTTTGTTTTGCATTAATCCCTCACATTTGCTGTCCTTCCTCCCTCACTGTGGACTTGCATTTCTGAATGATGAGCAGAGGTGGCTTTGTTTTTGAAATCTGGAGGGTGCAAACGCCTATAGCCAAATGAGCCACCTCTGCTGCAAAGCACTGAAGGCATGTGCTGAGCAGCAGCTGAGCTGCTCCACGCTACCACGCTGCATGCCAAGGCTGCTGTGGTCAGTGCAGCTTTACCACCGGCGCGGAAGTCCAGAGGGTGCTACGTGACCGGCTGGGAGATGGCTCCAGCAGGATTAGGGACCTCTGGAGAGGGGCTGGGAGAGTCTCCAGCTAGGACAAGAGACAGTGTCACTGCTCCACCTCAGAGAGCCCCTGCTTGTCAGTCAGCGCCCAGTGCGCACCCTCACCTTTTTATCTTTTTCTTTAGTGTGTGGGGACACTTCACCTTGTGTTTTGCATGTGCAACTGAGAGACAATTTCTTCAGCTGTCCCACCCCATGATGCTACTACCCTGGGATAGCTGCTGTCAGGAGACGATGGCTCTAACTTTAAAGCAGCAATGACACCCTGCTATATAAACCTATCATTAGGAAAATAACCAGAATGATAGTATTCCTGCTCCTACTGCGCGTGCATATAATTAAATTCCTACAAGCCCTCAAAGGTCTGCGTGGGAGAGGAATTTTATTTTTTTATGGCACTTAAGTCACAACATTTGAAAGAAATTACAGCACCACAGAGAGGAAGAACTTAAACGCTTCAGTAGGTACCAGCAGGTGCTGTGTCAGAAGGGATGAAAGTGTGTGTTTGGTGCCAGACAATGGGTATATTCCATCTTACTCTACAGCCCGAAAGGGGAGGAAGGCCCTGCCAAACAGACTCTCTTTGGTTAACAGCTACATTAGGGAGAATTGCAGAAAGTGCAAAACCACCATGCCTAACTGTTCCTCGAGCAAGCCGATGCCTTCAATGACAGCTGCTGGGGAAGCGCCGTGGAAGCCAGAGTGCTGGCTGAGGGCAGGCGGCCGTCCTCGGGCCACACGTGCAGGCCCCGCTGCCTCAGCTGCGTCCTGCCTCCTCATTCCTCGCTGCCACTGTGGCCAGGCTCCTCGCTGCTTTTGGACCAGCTCAGTGCAAGGAGAAGGCTTGGAGTAAGGAAAAGAAGTTTACATGTATGACTCCTGCTCACCTCACGCAGCAAGACAGACACTTGGAGAGCCAAAGAGGGAGGGGGTAAGAAGAGGCTGATGTAGTCAACATGTAGCAAGTGGAACAAAGAACGAAGAGAGGGTGCAAGATGGAGAAGCAAGGCCTGTATTTGGGAGAAATCCAGTCTCCTGAAGGTTAACTAGTGCGGGAAGGCCACCAGATGAATGGCTTACAGGTGTCCTGCTTCAGAAGTGCCTCTAGCTACTGCCAGTCCCCTTGCTCACACCATCTGCAAGATCTAGAGAAACCGAAGCACATGCCACCCCATAGGTTCAACCAAAGGAGAAGCTGAAGACAGAATTCATGTCCCGTTGCATCTCTGCAACACGTCAGTGCTTTCATGGTGAAGAGTGCGGAGAAACATCTCCATGGGAGCAGGATCATATCAGTATCATTCCCTTGGAGTGGCTTCAGAAAAAAGCAAAACATCTGCAGCTCCTGAACTGGCGCTTGGCACAGGCTGTCAGTCCCATGCGTTATCCTGTAACTATTGCTCCTACGTAAATAACTAATTGCACTGGAATTTCATAGTGCTTGCATAGCAGAGTCATTGCTGTGACACGAGCACATTACTGCATGTAAATCCAATTAGATTCCAAAGTGCACTGCGTAAGTATAATCGGCCCCTGTGGAGCAGCGATGAGGGGACCTGCACAAGGCCATGCAACTAGATACTAAATTACAGTCAATCTACCTCCTCTTCAGTTGCATTAAAATGCAAATGTCACTGTAATATAGGCCCATTTACCAGCGATGACTGCCTTGCCTTGCAACGCTGGAGGGAATGAGGTGGTTGCACTGCCTGAAAGCATTTAATTCCCTTGTATAGTTGAGTTAGCAAAGCCCTGAGGGGCATCTTATACCTTAAAACAATAAACTGATTGGCTTTTATAACACTAAAATCATATGAGGTTTGGTATGGTGTTTAAATGAACCAGAGCTTCTGCTAAAACTTCCGTTTCCCACCCAAGCAGAGCAGTCAGGATAACTGGGCCACATCCCTTCTTCTGACTCTTATTCACCACCTTTTAACGAAGACGCATTTCTGCCACCAAAAGCCTGTGCATAAAACCCTACCAGTCACACACAGGAGGAACACGAGAGCTGGACTGAACCTCTTAAAGCTTCATAAAAATAGTACCAGCTTTGTAACAAACCCAATAATACAATACTTAGCACCTATGTTTTGTATTTGCAACTTTGCACAATGTGTGCATAGAATACATGAGATCACATGGAGGTAAAATCGCCCACATGTACACAGACATTCCATATGGAAATTCAGAAATCCCAGAGCAGAGCCTATTCTATGGCTCAAACCCAAACCATTCTATGATTCTATGATTCTGTTCTCCCAAATGTTGTAACATTTGGAAAAGTGCTAAAGTACATGTCTGCAATGCCAGTATAGCATCAGGCCACAAACCACTCCATGTCAACTGGTGCAAATGTGCATACAGCACTGCTCGAAACATGAACTGCTCCCTTTGGCCCCTTCCCAACTAGAGTTCAGTACGTAATCATGTCTGGCTCTTGCATACAGCTTTTCAGCTGTCTCAGAAAAGAAGATACTGCATACAGAACCAACACATCTGATAGCCTGAAACTCTTTTAAGTTCTGTTCCTTAAAAAAACAAAGTCCTCAGATAGCTCACAGGTGTATTTCCCTTGTATTAGCTGCAGTACAGTGGAACAGTATGGTACTGAGTGTCTGCGTATATAAACAGATGACCCAAAGATTATATGCACTGATAATACAACAACATTAATTCTGTTTAGCAGGTAAGAAAACCAAGGCTGAACGGAGAATGGATGTGCTAGATCTCCTGACCCACAGTACAGCCCTCTGTTCACCGGCCCATAACGAGACCAGTCCCAAACCCATGAAAAAGCTGATTGCTTCTGGATGGTGAGTTACACTCTTTGACGAGCATCTCCTGTCCCAGAAAGAAGGCTATTTACCATATCACAAGGGAGGCAGCTCACTTTGGCCTCCTATGTCTGAAAATACTTCCCTTCAGCAGGGAATAAATGTCACCCTCCTGAGTAGATCATGGAGTTGCATCACAAGCCAAGTGACATTACCCACTGTCATGTCAGATACTGTCAAGTGTTGAAACACGCTTGGCACGGCATTCCAGACACATAGGGCATTTAACACAAAGTGTATATGCCTGCCACTTTTTCCCTGAGCCTGACACATCTCACCTTTACAACAGCTGACCTCTCGGTGCTCTTTTCTATTCTCTTTTTCTACAGCCCCGTGTTGTTGCACTGCGCAGATTGTGACATTCGTGATTGTTTTGAAAAATGCAGGAATACATCTCAGAAACACTGGCCAGTTGCTGTGGCAACCTTGTCCTCCTCAGATCATGATTTCCAATATTTTAAGAAGTTTCCTCATACTTTGCAGGCTTCAGGGAAACAATGCAGAGGAGGAAAAAGATTGATTTTAAAGTATGGAAGCAATCAAAATGGATTACTATGAGCCACAGGGCCTTGTCCTATCAAAAAGATGATGATAATCTCTCCTTAGCAAGGAAAAGCAGCCCCAAACGGCTGGTCAGAGGCATAGGCAAGGACCCGTGGGCAAGGGCATTTGAAACTCCTGCTTTCATCATCTGTTTTAATGCAGAATGGAGCTCCAGATCTGTAGGTTAATTTCTTGGTTGTTGTTGTTCTCAGTGCTTTTTCATAAGGTGGAGAAAAAGAAACCCACCCTTTAACATCATTTAACTGGGGGACTAATAATCTTAATTGCTTTTAAGAAAGAAATGCCAAGCAGAACTTTCAA